TGGCAAAAGACATCCCTTATCTATCATCTGTGGCCTGGTTTAGCTCTCTGCAGTGGCAGCAACAGGAGGGCGAAAAGGGGTTGGAAAGGTGCAAACTACTGCAGACTGCAATGCATGAAAGCATGCAGCTGCAGAGAGTGTGTCACCCTCCCATCTTCATCTCGTGGCACCCTCTCCAGTTATTAATAATCACATCTTCTCATTTTTCAGGCTCACGACTGCATGCGATGATCTTGAGGGGTGCAAAGGGGTGGCTTCAGGCAATGTTGTGATGTTTCCAATGAAACGAAATCCTGCCGGTCTCACCCTCAGGCAATTTTAAATTATACACTATGGTAACATCGCATAAGAATCCCAAAAATGAATCATTTCGAGACACATGGTGAACCTTTTAACTTCTCGATTAATTAGGTTCATGCACTCCCTCAGACTTAACACATGGCTTCGAGCAGGGCTTCGAGCGGGATGCACAGCATATTGTGAATTCCGCTCTCGCTCTTTAAATTGCGGTCCGGAAGGTAATTCAATTGCACACGGATCTCCTGGGAATTGTGAGTTGCCAGTGCTTGAGAGACGTTTTCCCCAGGAGGGCGACAGAGTCTGGACAGAATCAAAGGCAGACTTTCTTGGGCGATGCAAAGCCCCGAAGAGGTCAGAATTGACAGATTCGATTTAGGTACAAAGGCGCCCGTCAACCGCAAGACACCCTTTGACCTTCGATGTCGATGCATTTTGGGTGACGACGCCTTGATGATCTGCAGTGGATGCTGCGGTTGCATGCGGTGAAGTTTCTCCCAAACTAATTGGACGCCGCAGTCTTGGACGATGAAGAAAGTCCCTGGGATTCGCCAAGTGGCCTCATAATATATGAGCTCTCCCTGTGATTCACCACCTCTCGACTAATATGCAAATGAGTGGAGGGTGGGAGTTGGAATTGTGGTTGAGGAGTGGTTTCAAGGATCTCATTTCAAACCTCCGAGGAAGCAGGGATGAATTTTGTTTAATTGCAACTCTCGAGTCTTGGATCTTATGGTCATTTTTCCATTCACCCAACGATGGGCGGTGTGAGTCTTCCATTTGTGGCTTCTTTGAATATTCCCAATAAATCTGTGGAGATTGATTTTGAGTGCTTGGGCAGTGCCTTTGATCTGTGATGATTAAAGGCAGATCAAGTCAGGCAATTATTGGCAAAAACGCAATTACACCTGCAGTAGAACTGAATAGTTTGCAAAATCTATGCTGATTCATCTATAAGACAGAATGTAAAGCCGAAATCGAGGGATGAAACTTATCTCGAACGTTTAACTCATCGTTAATTGCTATAGAAGCCATATTTGAAAGTTTCTATTACATAAATGAAAGGTTTCGACAATCAAGGGCTTCAGGTTAAAAGGTTTCTTAATGTTTTTCAAGAGTGCTAAAATCATAAAGCAAACGAACTTAAAGCTGTGCCCAATTCTTCAAAGTTAGCAGTACAAGATTTTCGGTAGGAATTTCAAAGTAGAGACGATAAAGTTCAAGCGCTAAGCTAGACGGATACTTTAATATCATTACGTTACTTTCGTGTGCCGCCCAAACACCCTGTAATCATCGCATGAGAGTGCCATATTACAGAGGGATTATTTAGGCAAAAATTTAATTAAAATAAATCGTGTGAGATATTGTATCAATTACCAGGGAATAAATCACGCAAAGAAGGTAATATCCTCCTCCAAAAAAAGAAAATTGCCTCGCTAGGAAAATTGTATGGCTTGACATTGAGAAAATCTGTTGCAGAATTCAACAGTGTCTCAACCACTTGATGAGTTTCTGGAATTGTTGCTTTTTGGCTGACTTGATTCTCTCCGTCAATGTCTTCCCAAGGGAGAGAGAGACACTCTTAACATGCGGTATCGAGTGGAAATTTCCCTAAAGACTCACCCCCGAAAATGGCCTCACTGAATCCTTAAAGATGACTTAAAATAACCCTTTAATATGCGCTCGGCACTGAGGAAAATTGGAGGCATTGCAGAAGGGGGTTGTTCTCATGTGTGATATAATATAGTATAATACACAAATAATGGTGCAAAGTAGATCGGAAAATCGGCTTCGATACAGGTGAAAACGGAAACTTGAACCGCACCTTGTATTATCGCACGAAACTTTATGACTTTCCCTATTCCTTGGCCTGGGGTTGGGGGCCCCACCTCAGTGAATATGGCAATAAAAAAGCGCCCTCGCGAGCAACCAATCCGATCATATGGTTGGTTCTCTGGCACAAGGAGCAGATTAACTTGGGGTTGAGGAGTGAACGAAGATATCCTGCGATAAGACTCCACTAATCTATCCATTGACTGATTGAAAATCGCTCCGCGAACGCTATTCAGGGTCTGGGTCTTGATTACGCTGATGGCTTTCATATTACTCTCCTCCGCAGTCATCGAAGTCAGGGAACCCCTCTTTTTGGGATTCAAAGTTGTTGACTTCCCACACTACAGCGTGCATGAAAACGCTTCTCATTTCCACATCTGAGCTGATATTTCGTCAGAAGAGAGATTCTGAGGGATCAAAGCGCGCCAAATTATCATCTATCGCTTGGCGACACCAGCTCTGGAACCCCACCAACACCTCTGGAGAAAATTCACGGTGGACTGAAGAGTGTCGGGTCGTTTTCTCCTCCTCATTTGGCGGCAAATAAAAGAAAAAGCAAGGGGAAAAAATTGTATAAAATTTGCATTGTAATGGGCAAAACAACGGGATTACCGCTGTTCTCATTATCACGCACCGACAACACTATAGATTTAATGGTTTATCCTCGTCTGTTTGGTTTTGCTGCCCCAGCAGAATGTCTTCCCTCAACTAACCACTGCCTCTCCGCCCCCTCGGCAGATCCTCATCGTCATAAATACAATCCGTGTGTATGTGGTAGAGATGAAGCGACACAAGATGATATCCTGGGCTTCCTTATTGCCTCTCTCTCTTCGCTTCGCTCGGATGCTGAGTCTGTACCAAAAAGCATTTATGTATACGTCTCTCTCCCATCGCCACATTAATGACAATTGTTTGAGGGTGTTTTATCCCTCCCAAGGATTTGTGTTATCGTTTCAGATTCAGAAAATGTTATTCAAAGTGGTATTTAGCGGCAGGAGAGAGAATGTGTTATTTATTTCTCTCGGTGCGTTTCCCTCTGTGCCATCCGAAATGAAGAAATGAAGGCGCGCAGGGAGGGAAAAAATCCTCACAATTGTACCATATCCACATACGATGGCACATTTGCCATTGGGCTGGTGTGGGTGGGATAAAGAGACGGCCTCCAACTGCCAAGGAGCCGACAGAAAAAACGCCGACTCTCTGAGGAGTATAAAGGATGAAAAATGCTATCATCCATTTCTCCCCATATAATAGCCCCAACCCTCGGCGTCTCACCCAGCATTTGAATCGTTGAGTGCAGTTTAAATGGTGCTTAGATAAATTCACCCTCTTTCTGCGTGACTGAAAATGCCTGTGTTATTGGGGAAATATCTCAAACTCCCCGCAAGGCGAAATACCACAACCTAATAATCCCATCTTTAGCCATAAATTCACTCTTGACGCCTTCTTCATGCCCCTCTAAAATAGTTCCAACACTCTTCACACTTTCTCACCTCTGGCAGAGAGAGAGTGAGAGAGTAAAAAAACGCAAGTAGAAAAATTCATGCTCCTCACGCAATTTTTGCTGGACTTCCGCCCACTGAGCAATTGTGAATCATCCTTGACGTCCTCCCTGTGTCTTTGTCGTGCAAATGACTTCCTGAGGAGGAAGTCCTCTGCTCTGCGGATGTCATTGGGCGGGCATTAAATGTTATTTGATTTCATTAAATAGACACTCTCAGTGGGACGCTCTGGAATAGGGAGAATCAAATTACTCTGCGGCCAGCCATTCTTTGCGTGTAATCATGTGCTTACGGGATTGAAGACGCTCGTGGTCACACGTTTGGCCATCAGAGGTGCCTCTTGGCATCGCAAATGAGTATCACTTGGGCGATATATCACTGAGAGGGTGGATATCATTGACATATTATTGCTGGGAATCTCGAGGGAGTCGCGCGCGGACAGAGTGTGTTATCAATTGATCAAATCACACACACACACACTTAAAGACACGATATTAAATGATAGATTGTCAATATTCTAATCACGACCAAAGGACTTTAACTGACGTCATACCGTAATTTACGAGAAAGAACGTGTTTCGACAGATTTGACGATGAAGGCCAAAGAATGTAAAGGGCGGAGAATGAAAGTAGGAGGAGTTTTTCAAGCATATTGCAAATTTTGAAAGAGAAAGAAACGTTTTGTATTAGTCTGAAATATCCGGATTTTCATACCAGTAATGATAAAGAAACATCAAGTTAATTCGAGATGACTGCCTAAATATCCTTAATAAATTCTATGATTCTCACGTTTATTTCAGCGAAAATCCAAAAGGTGTGTTGTAAATTATACTCATTCTTATACATTTCATCCTAATTTCATGTTTATGTGAAATAATCGTGCATACGGCAAGTGCTGCTTGCCTTCTCTCGTTCTCTCACACTTTTTTCCACTTCTCGATTGCGACTCATGCTGTCCGATCGAGAGTGTATTTGCGTCATGTCGCTGTGTTGCTGCAAGCGGGCGAGTTTCGTGGATTGGGGGATGCATGAAGCTCCCTGCCTCCCCCCCCCCATGTTTTATTTCAACCCCATGTGATGGAGGGGAATGTGGCCACGGAGTGGGGCGAGCGACCACGAGAGAGAGAAAGCAACAATTGCAGCAAGACTTTCGAGGGGTTGTTTTTTGCTCCCTTCTGAGCCACGGCAAAGAGGGTGACTGGCGCTCTCGCCGCTAGGGAAAAAACAGGCACCCTCTCAGAGAATCGTGGCAGTGCTGAGAGCAATGCTCGCAGCGAGAGCATAGCATCCCCTCCATGAAGCATGACCAGTTGAATGGCTTTATAAGGGGAGTGCGCACTCGAGTTGGATTCAAAAGTGTTTCAGGGTTGGTGTCGTTCGGTTCGTAGTTCTTCTCTATTTCAATTTTCTATATATTCACACATATACCAAAATATATATCTCCACCAAAAGTCTCAGAGAATTTTTTCTTCTCATCGCCACCACTTTAATCCATCTATCCAAGCCTAGAAGTATCTCTTTCTTTCGCGATACATCCGAAACTTTATTTCCTGATACTTTTGAATCTGTTCTTCTCCTCCGACAAAAAAACGTGTGAGCGCTGGACAGAGAAAAGGGTGGACAAGAACCCGGAATTTCCTCTCCAAAGTGCTGAGAAAATCAGTTTGGGTGGTCATTTCCACTGGGTTAAAGACTTTTATTTGTGTCTCAGAGAAAGGTTTCTCTTGAGCCAATACAAGTGTGAATAGTGATTGAGACACTCTTTGAAGAATTCACCAGAAGAAAGACACTAAAAGCAATAAAAGTATCGACCAGAAAGCAATAAAATTCGAGTGAATCGTCTGTGAAGAGTGTTTGTTTGAGGAACAAGACAGAGCAAAAAGAAGAGCTGTGGTGAAATTGATCCAGGGAATTCGTGAATCCCCAGGAAATTCGATGGACGCAAAGGTAGACATTCGATCCCAGTGCAGCAAAAAGAGTGCCGTCAAAAGCCCATGGCAGAGTTCACTTATTCACCATGAGACCATCCTTCGGCTCCTGCCAACTCTAATCTGGACGACAAGTGATATGGCTGACAGAGTGCCTGGCCAGTAAGAGAGACGACACAATTTCCCATTGCTATAAGGTATCAACATAGCGCGATTTCATACAAGATATTGAGCGCGCCTTTGCTATAAGATCACTGTAGAATGCCACGGTGTTTGATGGCCAAAAAATGGAAAGCCTATCCGTGGCCTGATCGCGAGGAGCCGGCTGCAGACGTGGAGGAAGAGGAGGAGATTGAGATTGATGTTGTGGGCGATTCGCCGGCTGCAGTGGCATCGTCGTCTGTGACGACCACCGGGAAGACCACTGTCGCTGTGGTGGCCTCCTGCTGGGGACCCTCGTCACCCACGGCTGGCGCCACGGCCCCCAGTCCGCCCCCGCACTCGCCGGAAGCAACTCGTGGCTCCACGATTCTCTACAATGGTGAGTACTCGCCTCCGCTCTCTTACCATCCACTCTATCCGGTAGTTTTTTCAATGAATCCGAGCTCAGTGACTCGCATTTAATCTGGACACAGAGTCAGACTATAAACTCATATATCAATATCACTGTTGGTTCAATCTGCAGATTGTTGTCCACACAGACTGTCTTTAATGGCGAACACAGAGTGAAAAGCAGTGCTTTTTTCCCCTTGTCAATATTTCACGAGAATATGCCCACGGTGGCTTTTTGAGGCGACCCCGAGGGTGGCTGGCAATCAAGTAAACAAGTGTCCAAAGCTCGAGGATATTCACTTAGACAAATTGCAAACAAGTGATCAATTATTGACCATTTCATGACTGCGCCCATCACAAGACGGACGTTTCACCATACAAACAGCTGGAGCTGCAAGGGCCCTGCCATTAGCAAATAGTGGATGAATTTTTGATTTTTCTATTACTTCACTCCATCTGGGTGGGCTGATGCCGCCCACCCGCGAATCATTTCGGCGTAGAGAGCAACAAAATGTACAACAAAGTCTTCAGCAAAGTTCGAAGACATGGATAGAATTAATGATGCACGATGGCCACAAATAGCTTGTATACTCCGTTTGTCTATAATTTACAGTCCGGCCCAATTTGTCGATGGAGTATATATGTATGTTTTTCTAAATTCTCTGAGTCACTTATTGATAAAGTGCAGAGCGCTGAAAATCGTAGAAAAATCCATCAAGCAGCATTTTCTCCGCAACAACTCCATTAAGTATTCAAGCGGGAGCTCGATAAAATTCAAACAAATTGTAGGAACTTCAGTGTTTGATCATTTTGTATCTAATTAAAATTTCTGAGACGTTTCCATCTTGCTGAGTTGATTAAGAGTATTGGGATCAATGGTAATTAGCAAAAAAAACTCAAAGCCTTTATAACTTAATGCGATCTCGGTGACCCTCTAATTGGTGCGGTCAATGAATTGCTCTCCGGGATTGATTGGGAGATTGATCGCGGTGCAACTTTCGCCTCCACAATCACTCAATCAGGCGGGGATCTCATGGTGAATGTCCCCGCACAAAAAGCCACTCATTCACGGGTCTGAGTTTGAGGGCGACGGGCGGGAATGTGGGTGGTTTTAGTGTGTTTAGGTGTTTGGGACTCAATCACATTAATTTATTCAGTGAAACAGCACCCCAGCAGTGCTCTGCTCTCGGATGCTCCATCGCACCGACCGAATGGAATTTGTTTAGCTATTTATGCGATAAATTGGCAACATGAAATGCTATTCGATTGCACTTTCAATCCACAATTTGCACAATCTGTCTCACACGGTTCTCGCATTCAGGGGCGGGGAAAGTTTCTGCGACAGTTCAGATCCGGCTCGAAGGACCAGAAATTCAGCCAAAGAGCACTTGGTAAAATTCCCGACGGTCCTTCAACTCAACCCACCCAACAATTAAGCAATTCAAAGAGGAGAAAATGTACGTGCATGCAAGAAGTGGTTCTCCCTCGGCGCGTTACACATGGAAACGGAAACAACAAATGGGGGTTGCTTCAAATTTATATCTTTTCTCTTCGACACAAAACAACACATTCTGTTGCTCCCACACCCTTAGGCATGGGCTCAAAGAGAGTGTCTGGAAAATTGCTAACTTCTTCGAGGGGTGGCTACCCAAAATTGCCCGATGGCGGAAGCGCCGAAAGCAATTGAGTTTGAATTTCCCAACCATTGCGGGAAAGGCTTTGGGGTTTGTTCTCAGTTCTAGACTCTAAAGAGGGCCGAATGAGGAAGAAAATGCACTTCTTGGCCTCGTCGGAAGGTGAGTGTTGGTGGAATATTTGTGAAAATTTATGTGACACACACAAAAATGCTGACAGGCTGTCGATAACAGCGAAATGTCACGCGAAGAAATTGATTCTCCAAATGAGCTCACACACCCCAGTGCCATCTATGCTCCAGCACTTGTTGAAGAATGCAGAACGCGACCCAAAGCGTGAGAAATGGCCGAGTGTTTTCCTCGCAGATTTAATGATTGCTGCATAATCTCTCGAGAGGGGTGTCGTTAATCTTATCTCGTCACCATCCCTCTCGAGGGTTGGCGCAAGGAAAGGGTGTGCAGGAGAGACAGAATTAGTTGACATTTCCATTTTAAAGTTAAAAGAGAGTGGTGGAGGCCCACCTCTTCTGTCCGATTTCCTCTGTTCACAATCGATTTTCTCCTTTTGCCCAAACCATTAATTTGTGTGTCCGATGAAATGTCGCAATGCGACATTTCAGCGTCCTCTGCCCCGAAAATTGTGGCCACATTCGCGCTCTCTGGGAAAAGTGGCGAAAAGATGGGAGGCAATTGTGAAAACTTTTCATTTGAGCCCACCCAATTTCGCTCGGGGCGGCTCGACGCTCTGCTTTTGAGAAATTAAGCACAATCAGGCAGAAAATGGCAATGAGTTAAACCTTGGTAGAATTACATATTAAGGAGTGCAAGATCAAATACACCAACTTACCCTAAAAATTTATTAAATCTCGTGTATATTTTTCTCACCCTTGCTGTGTCGACAACAGAACTTACCCCCTTGTTCGGCTCAGAATAATATGAAAAAGCTGGATGAGTGAGAGAGAGAGAGAGAGAATGGATGGCATTATGGAAAATCCGTTCATCTTTTATGTATTTTGAGAAGACATAAGAGTCTAAAGTTTAAATTGTCTTTTAGACAGCTGTTGCATATTGCAAAGAAAAGCTCGAAATTGGAAAACGCATTATATACTTCCCCATATCTCTACAGCTATTCCAGCCATAACCAGATAAGCTCCTCTTTCGCCAAGCGCCTCTCCCGCGTCATCATCATCAAACTCTGTGGGAAATCCCTCAACCCTTACATCCCTCCGCCCGCACCACCGCCACCCACAAATTCCGCCTCACGGAATGCGGAAGACACAGCAGGAGATGATTTCTTTCACTGTGCCATCCGGCAAAACTCTCGGCGACATGAAAATTCCTCACTCGTCTCACTCAAACCATGGCGGATGGAGCTTTTCGCCTACATACATACATAATATGTGCCGTCTCACACACGAAAATATTTCAACTTAAACTCTTCATGTATTGGAGGAACTAAAGTCGATTAAAAAGCTAATTGGCATGATGTAGAGAATAAAAAACACTTCAAATTATAAAACTTTCCACTGCAACTGAGCTTTTAAGAGCAACATATGTCTCTCCCTCTGGAGAAAAGCTGAGCACAAGCAGAGTGCTTAAAGGGGGGAGGGAAACTTTAAAGTGTCTGCTGAATTGTCCAATGAATCAGCAGAATTATCTGGCAGTGAAAATGAGCTTCTGCAAGAAATCTTGCAACATTGTTGAATTTTTTTGGCGGGAGAGAGACTCTGCAATTGCAACATTCACCCAGAGTAATCTTGTCGTGTGATAAAATCCCAGTGTTCAACGAAAAAGAAGCCCATCTCTCCGCCCCCTGATTATCTGGTACAATGCCAAGTTTTCCCAGGAGTGCGCGAGTTATTGCACTCGCCCGAGAGTGACAAAAGCCTGGGGAGGATTGCAACGGCTTGAGAGAGATAGAATTCATTTCTCGTGTCGCAATGCACCATTCAAAATGATATTTATACCCTGTGCTATGCCCCCTGTTCGCCTCCTTTTTTCGATGGGTTGGGCGGCCCACTTTTTAAAGTCGGGACTGTGATCTTCCCATCCCGCGCGAGCAAACATTCTCAGATGCAACATTCTCAGGCGTGTCATTCGCCGGTGCCTTTGTCTGTGCACATGACTTGGGGATGCTCTGAGGGGGTGGCAAGAAATTAAATTACTCCACCCAAATAGTGACAGAGTTCACCAGTGAAATTTCTGGGCTATATTTCAGAACACTATCGTGGTTTTGGTTATTGATTGTGCCAATATGTTCCCCCGTGAAATCATGATCTTTTCTTCCGCGCGCTCTCCCCTAATTCAATAACCGTGTCCCTGGAACTTGATTATCGAGTCATGGAATTTTTCACTCAGCGACCACAATGCTCCCCGTGGACTATCAGAGCACACATCCTGTGATATCCTGCCACACAAATATCCTTGCTCATTTTGGCATGCAGAACCGCCAGAGAAAAATCCATATCTTCACTCACACACATACACACACACACATTCTCCACAAGAGCATGATTTTCTTGGCACACTCAACGCCAGACGTACTCTGGCAGGAAGTAGTGTTTACAAATTTTCCAAAACCACATGTGCTTCTCTTCCTCCGCCCTCTGGGCGGTTTTCACGAGGAAAATCAATAGAACTTCGCCTCTCGACACTGTTGATGGCGCGCAACAAGAAGATCTCACCATTCACAGTGACCATTCCGAGCAATTCTGCACATGTTAAACTCGCGTCCACTAATTGTGTGACTTAAATTCAATACTTTTAGCATCATGAGAAGTTGGAAAATAATTCATTTCTCTTCTAAACATCAAAATTTTATACAATCATCGCATCTTTTCTAGTATTGTGCTCTTTGGGAGTTTTTTTTCTAGAGAAACGAAATAACTCTTGTGTTAAGCGTGAACATAAAAAATCCACTATCTACCAATCGCCTCGCACTTCTCTAAAGACCCTCACTTAAAGCTCACGCGGCCAGGAATTAAATATTCCGGAATAATCTCTCAGTGTACTTCATTAAATGTTCATGCTCCTCGGGGTTGGTGTGGAAGGATGGCGCGCGAAAGGGAAAATCCACGCGAATTCAACATTTTGGCGGTGGGATTTACAGCAATTTCTCTTATGTACGTCGCGGGGTCGAAACAACACGCATTTGCACAAAACCGGATGGAGTATTTATTCGCAATTTTTTGCGAGCGCGCCCCCATTCAACTGCTGGCCACGCTGGTGGCACACAAAATGCGGAGAATTCGGTGGCGTCTGGTCTGAAAGTTAGAGATTATACGCTATGCCACATTTTTCATCATTAATGTATTATTCTCGCATTGGCTCCCATGCACGATGCGAGCGGAGAGAGAGCGAGAGAGCTTTAAGCGTGTGGGGTGGAAGCACAAAAGGCAGCACCCCTTTTTCGGTGAATGAAATTAAATCTACAATCCCGTAGGAGTATAAATGCCAGGATATGTGTTGGCTCGGGATATAAATTTAATTTAGAATTATCATACCAGACATTCTCTGTCCGCTCTATTTTCATCCCACCCGGAAAATGCCATAGAGAATCACTGAGGTGGAAAATATCTTTAAATTCCTCACCATTTAACTGCTAATGAGTTGCAGTGCGTCTGCTGGGTGTATTTCTTGGAGCTCTGAAGGAGCCAGTGTGAAGTCAAGATGCCCAAGAATCCTCAATGACAAGCCCTTAGGAGTGTGAAAGTGCAAAATAATGGCGAATCATATGGAGAATGAATGCGCGAGATTTCCACTTTAGATTTCAATCAGGGCGTTTGCATTGTTTTGCACCATGACATGCACTAATTAAACGTGAAAAGATTTTCATTACCAGCCACAATGAGTGCCTTTCCGTGTCAATAAGAGGGGCAGGGTGAGGGGGAGGATATGGCATTTCTTTCTGGAGATGTGAGGCATTTTGGCGCATATCAGAGGCCAAGGATGATGATGTGACTTAGAACAATGTGTGTGCGCGCCCTTCATCATCGGCCCCGGGGAGAAATGTGAAAAGAAACTTTCAACCATAAATAACGTTCATTACATGCCGCTAACATGTGTTGGGTTGGGTGGGGGCAGGAAAAAACAGGGTGGCGCCTCATTTGGAGCTTTTCCTCAGTGCGCGCAAAAAAGCTCTAATTTCTGCACACTGAGCAGATTTTACTCTTGCTTTTTACACTCCACATACATCTGCTAACCCCTCGCGAGTGCCACCCCCGGAATTACGTCACTTAAGCCACTTTTTGCTCAATACTCACCGCCCTCAATTCTCTCCGACTTTCAATCATTAGAGCGATGCTGCATGGGACTCCTCAATGTCGTCTCCTGGCGAGTGGATGGCAAAAGAGAAAGAATACCCCTTTTTCACCACGTCACTCTGTGAACGCACTTTTTCCTCACCACGTGAGCGCGTTAAAGGGTGTAATTGGCGAAATTTTCCGCTTCTCCGCGCACCCACTTTTTATTTAATTAGTGGAAAATTTCAACGAGCTCCAGGACATTCTTGTATTTCCATGGCGATGTCATGAGATCCACGAGATCATAAAAATCGGAGAATTCCGGTATAAAGTATCAGCAGAAAAAGAATGTCAATCCATTGGATAAAGCATCCCCAGAAATACCAGAAGAAATGTCTGCTGATTACGTTTCACTGTCTCACACATTCTCCCCACAATTGCATCGCGTCGCATTGAATTTCCCAAGCCGCGTCCGGGTTGTCCTCTCTCTCAACCCACCCACGAAAAAGTTGGATGTTGCTGATGTTGTGCTTTCACTGATGGTGCGCTATTGTTTTTGTGTGAGATGTATTTTGTCGTGTTGGCGTAATTCGTGTTTTCACCCCCCCCCCCCACTTTTGGCACTGTGCAGGGTTGGGATTTCAGTCTCCGCACACCCCGAAAGGGCTCTCTTATGCAGACAAACACTTTTCCTGTTGATTTTCCCGAAGCGACAGCACTGGGATTTTCACCATCAAAGAGAGAGCGCTTCGCTCCTTGAGGACAAAGAGCTCAATTTGCAATTGCAGTGTCTTGCGAGACAGCATCCCTTCCCATTCTCTTCGCAGCATCCCTCACCGCACAATTTATCCTTGCATCTGCAGTTTTGAAATATCTCCACTCTATTCGAGGACAAATTAACCAACTTATTTATGATAATCCCCTTCTGTTCTGCATGTAATGGGAGAGCGGGAAACTTCGAATTTGAGGCATTATAGTTCTTAATGCAAAATATGCTAAGTAGAACTCTTTTGGAGAGACGGTAAACATTTTTTGACACAGCGTTGCCTGTAGTTTTCTCAAAGAAAAAAAAAACAATTGTAAACTATTTTCTACGGTTACATTGTTCAATAAGAAATTTCGTTTGAACTAAGAGTAAATCAAATCTGAGAAAATTTCATTCTCTTGTCGATGTGGAATGAAATTTAAACTTTTCTACTTTTTTCGAGTTGTTGTAAGAAATTTCCCTTCTTCTCCATTGCAGGTTATGGGCACGACATTTCACCAATGCATTTCACAGCGTACCTGCCCAGAATCGATCACGAAGTCACTGTTATAACGACGCCGGTGCATGGGCAGCAAGCTACCACGTCCGCCACATCCTATGTCACTCTGCAGGCGCCGGTGGCCAGCTCGAGTGCCGCCGAGCAGCCGCCGCCGGCCACTCCGCCGCGGAAGTCCCTCGCAATGTGCTTCACCAGCACAGGCGCGGCCCTATCGCTACCGCCGAAGAAGAAGGACATTTACAGGCCGTACTCGCTGGACGACAGGCCACAGCCGCCCATGCCGCCGCGTACTTATGAGATGCGAATCCCTGCCGAGGAGGATTTGCACGCCGCGCACGCCATTCTGGACTTAAGCGCCTCCACGGCCTTCCTGCCGCCGCCGACCGCTGCGGAAGTGCTCCAGCCGCCCCCAAAGACTCCCCTGCCCCAAACTACTGTACCTGACAGCGCCCCACAACCCGACGACGACGCCCTCAAATCACCCTCCTCCAAGACCGTGGCCTACACGTACGAGGCCTTCTTCGTGAGCGACGGCCGCTCGAAGCGCAAGAACGGCGTCGAAGTCGTGCCAGACGTAAAGACCAAGTACACGTGCACGGAGTGTGGGAAGCAGTACGCGACGTCCAGCAATCTGTCACGCCACAAGCAGACCCATCGCAGCCTGGACTCGCAGTCGGCGAAGAAGTGCCACACGTGCGGCAAGGCGTACGTGTCCATGCCGGCGCTGGCCATGCACGTGCTCACGCACAAGCTGAGCCACAGCTGCGGCGTGTGCGGCAAGCTCTTCTCGCGGCCGTGGCTCCTGCAGGGCCACCTGCGCTCCCACACCGGCGAGAAGCCCTACGGCTGCGCGCACTGCGGCAAGGCCTTCGCCGACCGCTCCAACCTGCGCGCCCACATGCAGACGCACTCCGCGGACAAGAACTTCGAGTGCTCGCGCTGCCACAAGACCTTCGCGCTCAAGTCCTATCTCAACAAGCACCTCGAGTCGGCGTGCTTCAAGGATGACGCAGCCAGCGGGTTCGCCGAGGAGCCGACGGACGCCAAGGCGGCGGCTAGTGTGGTCATCGTGAACAGTGCTCCGCGCGTGCAACAGCTAGCCTCGTTCGCGGGGTAACGAACAGGTAAACACTGACGATGATTTCCTGCCCACAGAGAGACATTCAGCAGAACTCGGCGCCAAATCGCGGTATTTTAGAGCATTTTGTGAGATTGTTGTACATATTCAACCATGATATTGTACCTTGTGCCCTTCCTCAATTTCTCAGTACACGTGTTTTTTTTTGTATGATGACAACGACGCTTGCACGTGAGATTCACCAAGTCAAGCCGTTTTGGAATGAAATCGCTTTCACTTAGTAAAGTCATAAAGGTTAGTAGTCGTGAATTCGGGACAGATTGAAGTCCTGTTTTTTTTTTAAATACAAGCTTTTGCGCCACCCTCAGAGGTTCGGTGCCAAGTCAAGAGTCATTTAGTCATTAGAAATGAAAAAAATCATAGTGAGAGCATTTAGTTGTGAGATTAGGTAGATTTTACAAGGAAAGAACACGTAGGCGCTAAGTCAGATGCTATATTTGATGAATAAAGAAGAAACATGAAATCACGATACGTCCAAAACCCCCTGAAGTAAAATTCAATTAATAGTGATTAAAGGCTCTCTAAGAAGTTAAATGAACAAAAAACTATGAATGGGTTTTCTCTAACATATGATTTCTCCCCTTTGTGGAACTTCCTCGTATCTAAAGCTCTAAGATTGTAAGTTGTTAGTGAAGGAGGAAGTCACTGTAGCTACTAAGAACTTTTCTCTAGTCGTTATTAAAATTTTAAGCTAGTATTTAACGAAATTTCCCATTGTCACTTTTCTCTTAGCTGTACTTAGAAACTTTGAAAGGTGAAGAGTCTCACTTAGAGGAAAACCCCCGGAACGCTCCTTTTGCCTCCTGGAGAATCCTCATGAAGAAAAAATTACACTCAATGTGAGACATAATCGCGATAATTAAGATTTAAGCTTTATAAAATATTCAAACTTTTTCAATGAATTATCCATTCATGGTTCAACAACGAACGAAAAGCAACGTTTCGAAGACAACGAAAATTAGCGTTTTAATATGAAATTGAAGTTATATAACTAAATAGCAAATGAAGACACCAAAGAAAGCTCTGAATAAGAACGCCCAATGATCCACAAGCATTAAAAAAAGTAACTCCTAAAGCATAAGCAATGTTGAGCATCTGTAGCACTTAAGAATGGAAGTGTAGAGAGAGTTGAGTGTGTGAGGTGGTATTTTTGATTTCCAGAGTCCACACGAAACCATCTTTTCGCATTGATGAAACTGTAGGGATTTGAGAAATGAGCGCGCCCAATTGGTAAATGATTGCATGAATTGAAAGTAGATTATCTCATGGGAGCATTAACATTTCCTCGAGAGCTTTTTTGTCGCTGTATTACCTTCCAATTGCAGAAGCACCATCGACACGCTTCACTAATCACAAATCGCGATGACATCGATATCATCAATCATTGCAGTTTTTTGAGTCGGGAAGGGAGGTTGTTTTTCCGCCCACGGTTCACCCACTCCAGGGAAATTTGGCCTCTTCTTCGCTGGGTTGTGTATATGGTGAAAAGTTGTTGATCATTTTTTGATTGCGCCTCATCGTCATCACTCTCCACCCTAGCTCTTTTTTGCCATCAGCACACCATCATTTGTCAATATAAAATGACGCAAAAATGTTGATCCCCTTTCGAGGGCCTTCCCCGGAAAATTTCCATCAGCAACACAGTGACGGTGAAGATATATTTGTGAGAACTGCGCGCGAGTGTGAATATTTTACAATGAATCGTCGATGTAAATTAAGGATTAGCGAGTAATTCATAGTCAGTAGATGAGACACACACGTCACTTTTAAGAGGATGACAAGGAATTCGCGATATGAGCACACAAGAACTCTCTTTCTCTCACTGTCACTTTATAGAGAAATCATTGAGCTTTCAACCCATCCTCATGAAACATGGAGAAGAAATAGTGAATAACGATTGTAACTTTAGAGGAAAAAATGCCCACAGAAACTAGTTCAGTCCCAACGTCCATTTAGCCTATTGAAGAAGTTGAAGACGAGTGAAAGAAATGTGGCCATGGCCGGAGCTTCAATGCTTCGTTGTTCATTACTATTTTAAGACAGCTGAGAAGGGCTTTCGAGGCTGACTGAGCAGCTGATCTAAATTATGGCCGACTAGCTTCATCGAATATACATATAATTTCCGAGAGCTTTTCGCAATGTATGTATGTACTTTCTAATAATGAACTTCATGCAAAACATTCAGCAAAAAATTAAATTGTGCTATACTCTTTCAATTTCCTCTTCAAAGCATTGAGCTTTCGCACTTGATCTGTTGCTTTTTCTCTTCTAAGTCTGCACTATAGGAAAGAAGGAAGAAAATCTACTAGAGATTTTAGACTTAGGAATAATACTATAACATAGAATTAGTGATTAAAATGTAGAACATTCTAAACTATACACAGTAAGGCGAATGCGTGAGTTTGATGTGTGGGATTTCCATTATAATTTCCAATCATTTTTTTCTGTCTATATTTTCCAAACTTTGGTCCTCTTGAGGCTAATACTTTTGGCACGAGAAAAAGGGTTGCGGTGCAATAGTTAGTGAGGAAATTAGCGCGTGATTCTTTCCAGATCACACAGAAGGTAGGTTTTCTGTATGGTTGTATAGGGTGGAAAATAAATATTAGCATTGAGAGAGTGAGCACCGTACGAGTCTCTGTGTCCATAAATAACACATGAATTAAGCAGTTGAGAGTACATTCTAGTCACAAATTATGGTCGCACTGACGTCAAAGCAGATATTTGCTCTCAATGGCAATTAAGAGAGCTTATGATATGAGAAATTATTATTGTTTTCCTTTGCGCGCAGAGAGAAAATTGGTGGGAAGGACTTATTTAAGGATAGAAATTAAATTTATTTAGACGAAAATTTATGGTCACACACGGAGAATGTTTCGCGCACGGAACATTTTTTCATGACCTCATACAGTGGCGAAAAACCAAAAAAGAATAAGTGAAATTGTACCATAATATAAAACGTAGCGCTTGGAAATTAATGTCTTGGGTAATTTTTCTTGATATTCTCATTTTTCTGGCAGTTTATTGAGACAATAAAATTTCTTATTAATTGTACCATGAAAATACTCAAACTATTATACAACTCGAGTGTGCAAGTTGATGAGAAAATGCAATGAGTAAATGAGTGTGTTCTCAGAAAAATATCTTCGCAAACACTGTGTTTAGAAACTCATTCAAAGTATCCTTATGCATGAATAATTGTTTAGATGCGTGTGCTGATAAAAGAGAAACATTCTCTTGAACATATATATTTTACCTAATTAATAACTTTAGCAGATGACGCAATTGAAATGTGATGAGATTTGAACTCGAAAGTTCGTGATAAGCGGAAGTGGCAGGTTCGAATCCCATCGCGGTGACTGTTTTTTAAGCCTTCTTTTCACCATACCTGTGCACGAGAGGGTTTTTCTCATCACTGCCTCGTGACATCACTTATTCATTTGACCCTTCACCCTTTGACATGACTCTATCGCCAGGGGGTGAGTTTTGAGAGGCCGATGGAAAATTGTGATTGGGTGACATGTTTGTTGAAATGGAAAATTCAACTCGAAGCACACTTTCCACGATGCACACACACATACACTCCAATTAATCCTGTGCAAATAAAACACTCGTGTTGGATTTAATTACCGACAGCAGGCGGCAAGTGGGTGGCAATGAATTCAATGTTCAAATGGGATAGCAATTTTCCCTTTCATGTTCAACGCCAATGCTATTCTCATGGATGGGTGTGTGCATCAAAACATTCACACGTCTGGACTGGCACGCAAAAATGCCTTCCACGATTTACTATGCACTTCAAGGGCGACAGCCTGTGAAATTTCCTTTCTCAACACTTGAAATTCATGCAATTGTAGCTTATTTATATAATATTCATCACAACGAAAGTCAATTAAAAATCCTCAATTGAAGTCCTCGACCTTAAAGCTTAAATCTATTGCCGTTCCTTTCGAACTCTTATCTCCATTGAGTTACTAATATATTTATCTAGAAGAAAAGAAAATCTCTAATGGTATAACATTGATAAATGAAAGTCCCAAAAGCGTCAATTTTTTATGTAAACAAAAAATCGTCATATGAAGGAGTATTAATTGCAAAAAAGTCACTATATATTGAATTATTCAGAGAATGAACAAGAGAGAGAGAGAAATATATGAATAAATTTGAGAGCAAGTATAAATGATAGCATCATGATAATTCAATTAATTTAACATTAATGGCAGAGTGGGTGAAACTGCCCCGACATTAAAGTTAATATTTATAATTAATAAAAGTGAGTGTGATTGATATATAAAGAAAATGGAATAAGTGAGCAATTAAATAAATAGCAATATTGTATTCGAAAGAAAGAAAAAAAATTGTTTCTTTATTAAACTTTGGGAGGAAAGATAAGGTGAGGTTATAACGTTAAAGTCTTATTCGGCAGGCAATAAAGTGATGAAGTTTTATCAGAGATGCAGGCAATTCGAGGTGAAAGTCACTTTTATTGTAGCTTAACATGTAAGAGAAAAAATACCCTCTTTAGACGCCCAGAAGAAATTGTAGAAATATTATAGTCTTTAGAGATTATTAACGACAAACACTGTGATTGTAAGTCAAATTTAATCAACGAATTGGTAAGCTTATGACTTAATTCCAACCTTACTCTTCAAATCTTTAGCTTCATCTGAGAATGTTATAGAAACAAATAATAAACACTTACATTTTCCCTCCTCTTTTGCCGTGTATTCTGTGTGAATTTTCCGTCTGTCATGAAATCTTCCTTCAACAAAATGTAATAATTGATATGTCAAATGTGATAAATATTGTTATTACAATGAGAAGCAATAAGACAACGCAATTGAAAATGAAACGAAAGAATAATTCAAAGCAATACGCAAATGCCCAGATTGTTCACCAACTTTTTATTCGATATTGCCTGCATTTCTCACATAGAATCATTCGTCTCGACTAAAAACGCCGAGTATCAAAAGCAATAACAAGTAGTCAGTAAGCCCTCCGTGGATCACATAAAAGTGTATAGAATGGATCCCGGAGTAAAAAAAAGAAAACAAAGAGAACACAATTGAGAAATAAATGATAAGCAATTACTATATTAGCAATGAAGGTGAAGGAGATGCAGAATATGTATTTTAAGGCATATATTTACCATTTATGCTCCTCATTGCCCCTTAAATGATGACATTCGACCCTTTTTGACAATTCTCTCACATCAATTAATATTTAGGCAATTTAGGTGTTAGGTACACACACTTCCAGTTTACAAAGGAAAAGGAAAACCGTAGTTGGAAAACAATGAATTATTAAGAAATATTTATTACATATTTATTGTAATATTTAGATAAAGAAATTATAATGTCTTGTATAAAGAAGAAAATTCTGAGATGAAAAATGCACTGTAAATATGAGAAATCAGATAGAAAATTGGAACCGAAGCTCTAAAGTTGTAACTAAGTAAAATTATATAAAATAAAAAAGCAATGAAATGGTGAAAAGGGTTGTTAAATACCGTCTTTTAGGCTGCCGAGGCGTGCTGACTACGAAATATTATTCGAAAGAAGAGTTGAGATTGAGTAGAAAAGAGATTGCAAAATGCTTAGAAATCCTGATAAAGAGACGCGCCGTCATTCTCCTCTTTGCTGTAACTCCTCATTCAATTATCTCTAAACTAAATAAACTTTTGAAAAGTAATCTAATAAACTCTATGGTGAAGGATGGAATTCTTAGTAAAGTCTCATATATTTTATGAACAATATATCTTAAACTATTGATAGACATTTCCCTTGAAAAACTTTCAAAGAGACATGCAGGAAGGAGAGTAAAGTGGAAAATCAAAGAGTAAACTTTCTCCCTTATTGCCCAAGCATGAAATAAAGTAGGAAGAGAGAAGAATCAACCTGCAATTGCATTCCAATTACTCAATAGTGCATCCCAAAGAAGTAAAGAAGATGATGAAAAATATTGTAAACTCTTATATACTGTATAGAACTATTTATTCTTAAAATATACAACTTTTGAAAAGAGTATGATGAAGTTTTACCTTTAGAAATGATGCGTATTTTAAATGAATTCTCTATCTGACGAAGTGTAAAGCTATACACACAACTTATTATCTATCGAAGATGATTGACCGACACGCACTTCAAGGTTTGGTTGGCTAGGTTTGATGTCTCTGGTTTATTTATCCCTGAAGATATCTATCAATTTCTCACAAAAATAGCATGCATGATGAAATAAAAGGATAAATGGAATAAAAAGATTAAACCGAATTAGCTTTAATATTATAATCGAATTTTTATTACTCATATTTTATTTATTTTTAATCATTTTATCAACAATTAATTCACCATCAGATTTTATGTGAATTGAATGAGAAAACCAAATATTTACTTATAAACAATTAAACTAATACAATTATATACCAATTGCATTATAATTAAAATATATATATATATATATTAAATATAAAATATTTGAAGAGAATGATGAAAATAAGAGTATATATATTGAAATATATAAGAGAATGCGACGCGATGGAGAAATGCAACAAAATTTTATGTAGAATTTTTAGAGAAAAAAGTTTAACTAAAGAAACAAAATGAGTGAAGAAAATACACAGATGAAAGATATTTAGAATGGTCATATTCACATTCAATATTTATAAATTATTGACTTGAAAGTAAATCGAATAAAGAAAAAAAATATTAACTATTATTATCTACCCACGAATATTAAAAAGAAAACAAGTCAAATGAAAGTTAATTACTGAAAAAAAAGAATTAATTCTTTACATTATTGACCACATATAAAAAGAAGAAGAAAAAGAACATGAAAAAGGTGAAAATAAGAAGTGAAAAAGATAAACACAATTGAAAATACATAATTATACAATGTAATTTATATATAATAATGAAATTATGGAAGAAAGTAATGAAGGAAAATTCCATAAAGACATATAATAGCAAGTTTTGTATTATATTTTCATAAAATAAATAGTGTAGAAAATATTTATGAATTTATCTCTCAATGCGTTTTAATTGGTCAGCAATCAGCTTTGTATCGCATATATTTTCTTTTTCATGAAGCAAACTTGGTGAAAATCAGCTGAATTTTCCTCTCTTCTCGCAACAAAATTAAGTCAGCAAACGTGGAAAATCCTCCAGGACAAACGTGTCACAAAATGTTGCAAAGAAAGTTGTGTGTGAAGACGTGATCGGATGAGGAGAGAACACTTCTTTTCAGCCTGGAATTTCCACGCTGCATCCAAAGTGTTGGGTGTGAGATAAGCTTGCAGAACAAGGATGAATGTCATCTCCTGAGACGAGAGGGGGTGATGAGGCATCGTCGACGCGACGAAAGAATATCCCGCAGATGGAATTCAATGGATGAAAACAAGAGGATGAAAGGAGTTATGCGAAGCCCAATTAGTGTGTTTTCCGGGTTTCGTGTTTCTCAGCCATTGTGAGCTTCACATTGAATTTCATTTTCGGCCCGCAGAGCTTTCACTCGGCATGATGGATCGAGGAAAAGTCATTTTCTCCCTCTCCTCGTCTCGCTGCCGGGGAAAAATCAATGCCACAGGCGGTCATAAGGAGTGAAATCTTCGGGACAGGCGAGTATGTTCATTGAATTGAATGAAAAGATGAAATTAAATAAGCAAAAGTGACAGGTTCGTGAGTACATTTGCATTGTATATTTACTTGGAGCTTAATTTGGAAACTGTACACCATTTCGAATTTGGACTAGAATATCCCGACAAAAAATACAAAAATACTCACCCTTAATTAGTGCAACGCACCGGAATGGAAGCTAACATGGAAATTCAATTGTGGCATTTTCCATCCCCCGCATGATTGAGTGTCAGGCAAAAGGGGTGCGATGGGAGTGTCGCAGGATGTTCTTTTGACGACATTTCAAATCTCACTCCCTGCTGGTGTGTGTGGAAATTCACAGCATCTCTATAAATACACATAAGTAGAATAATATGTGCAAATAATTCTCTTGAGTGACAAGCGACTGACAAAGTCATTTGCCTCCGTGTGCCTCTGAAATGAGGTAGACATTTCACTGCAAATCTCCGTTCTCAAGCCACCCACTCCTGCAGATTATCATTCACATTCCACACAAGGGTGGTTTTACTCACGCCCAAGGGGGAATTATTTTAACTGAGCAGCATTTCACTGCATATGCGCTTCGTGATTCACGTCAGACACTTCAGGATTTAACATCGTTTCAATACATGTAATCCAAAGAATGAATCATTTGCATACCCAAATTAAATGAAATTGTCTTCGAACAAGAACCCTATTCGAAAGTGCTCTAAAGATTGTGCCAGTTAAAATATTTTTTAAGCAGGAAAATATATGAATGTATTACTCAGAAAATGTAATATTTAATTCTCTCACAATAATTATATCGGAAATTCACGATATAATGACTCCTTGTCTTCAGTGAATTCATTTCCATCTTTTGCCAAACAAGAAAAAGTTGCACGCGGCAGCAAGTTTCCGTGGGATGAATTGCGCTTTGGCAGAACAAACAAACCGTCTTCATTAAAATCTTCCCTCTCAGCGAAGCACAAAAAGTACTAACCCTCACACAATTTCACTTATTTGACGAGGTGCTCACCGTCTTCGGTTGGAGTTTCAAACTGTTGATTCCGCCAAAAATTACAAGACACACATCAAGCAATTTCACCTGCCCCGGGGTGGCGCATTTCCACCCTTCCGACCAGTGCTTGCCGAGACGTCTGAGAGCCACTCAATCCCTCTATGAAATCATCCCGGCCTCTGTCAGTCACACGAATCAAGGCTCCGGAGATGGGGCGAGCAATAATTTCCAATTTTACTGTTTATTGGTGTCATGGCTCTTCGTCCTCGTTCTGGGTCGAATTGTGTTCGATTGCAGTGAATGAGGGATGATGGCCGGGGTGCAAAAAAGGCCGAGGGTTTGAGGTTGGGATTTCGATTTCCATCATTTTGTGGAGTTTTCACAGCCATGCGATTCTCTGCCCGCACCAGAAAAGATGAATGACTCTTGCGTGGAGCTTTTCTCCATGTCGCGACATACATTCAAAGTATCGCACGCCGCGTGTGAAATTAAGTGGGCGCCAAAAAGTTTTGCCTCTTTCTCTCTCTCTCTCTCTCCATTCATCCATTGACAGCTTATTGACAAGGGGGTGGGATTTGTTTAAATTAAAATCCCCACCGCGTGCCCGGAAATTCTTCCTGTGAGCAATTTTTCCACCTAAGTGAGTTGATTGAGAGATTTTTAATGATTTCCCGCGTGTTTTCGCCACGGAAAGTCGGCAAAGTGCCTTCGTGAGGATTGCATGGAGACTCCGAGACTCGTATCATTTTCCAACACACACACACAGACACAGAGTCAATCAGGGTGAAAATTTTTCAAGTGGAAAGAGCACTTTGTTGGCAAAAGTATGTACAGAATTTTAACAGCAAATCCCACCATTGCTCCGCAACTTTCCGCATCTCTTCTCTCTCGCTCCAAATTGTCTGTGTAAATTTTTCCAAACCGCCACTATAACATTTCATTGGCGCGGAGAAGAATTTCACCTTTGCTGTGCACCAAAGACGGAAGCAAACAACAATCTTGTTGCACAAGTAAACACCCACCACAATTTACTTTTGCAACTCTTTCTTATTGTACTTTAGACTATTGCTCTTTGTCTTTGACCAGTATGAGAAGATTTATGCTTCCATATTATGTCAAACTGCTACAACATTGATTTCTGTTGGTAAATTAAGTTCCGCCCACCTGAATGTCCCGCCCATTTATTTGGGACCATTTATCAAATCAACTTTATTTGATATAAACTGAGCTGCTACAAGAACATCAGAATCGTCCACAATACTACGCTTTCTAAAATATTATTCCCCAGTCGCTTTATTGCTCCTCATATTGGAAGATGCAATCTGTGCAATATTCAGAGGGAGCTTTCACTGACGAGATAAGCCCTCAAGCTACCACAAATAAACTTTGAAATTGTCTCATTGTCGTCGAGGGAATTCAGTGGATTTTCATCTAAGATTCTACCTGAGGAAATACGATGCTGATCATTCGAATTCAGTGGACAATCCGCTGCCATTTGAAAAGATCCCATCCCTCCATGGCCTCCCCCACGGAAAAAATACATTGCGGGCGGGGTGTATGTATCGCTATTTTATGGGAATGTGATTTTATGTTGATCCTACCACACAAACCCACCTCTTCAGCGCGGGAAATTGGATGGAGAAGAAGGGAAATCGCTTTTACCCGGACTCTTCTGTGTCTCTCTCCCCCATTTTATGTTTTCTTAAAGCACAGAAACCCAGGGAATGGGTTGTCAGTTCTGATGAATGTCTATTTTTTCTCTCTCGCTCACCCTCCACATTCGCCCAATACAACTTTAACGGAGGGTGGGAGCATAAGAAGTTTTCTCAACTTTCCAGGAAGAGCTGGCGCTGTGAAGCACATGAAACCACTGCCGATGTGGGAAGCAATCAAGAATTGAAAGAAAAGCATCGAAATTGATACGTTCTACTTCGGGTACTCTCTTCCCAAGCCGCAGACACTGAGGGAAAAACGCCGCGCGCAGGAGAATCGAGTCACTTTTGCCAAGAACTTCCACCATAGAATTGCTCTCAGTGTCGATGGGATTACATTGAATTTGTGTGTGTGGTTTTCCAACACCACCCACAGTCCATCTATGGCTTGTTGAAGAGGAAAAGAGTGTTGCCAAGGGTGGATATAGTGCTCTCGGGATTTGACACCAATAATGTATGTATTTGATGCGTTTGGAGAAAATCAAATCGAATTGAGCATTCCCCATCGATTGATATCAAAAGTAAAGCATCCCCCAATTCTTCATCTCCGTCCTCTCAATTCTGAGGGTTTGTTTTATATTTCCACCACGGCATATCACTTCCTTCTCCCGGACAAATAACACCCTCGAGACCCACGCTGGTTTTTGAGAGACAATCATAAAAAAAGAGAACCATTCTCCAAGACTTTGTGATATCAATTGTGTGGGGTCTTCGCTGGTCAATTTACCATGGGAAAAATGATGGTGATTCCAAAAGTCCCTGAGAAAATGATTGCATGCGACAATGCGGAAGTGATCCCGCGCACCACTGAAAAATCTAATTAAACTTTTCTAATGACTCCTATTTTTCCCACTTAAATCACCCACGAAAGCCATGCGAGAGCGGAGAAGAAATGGAGAGAATTGAGGAGCGCAGATTGAAACATGTCGAGAGCGAATTTTCTGTTTAACTTGCCTCGGTGGGTGATTTTTTTGCCAGGCATTCTGGGGGTAATTTGAAGAAGTGGCCAAGTAACACCATCCGGGACTCATTTTGTACTGTAATTAAGTTTACGAGACGGAAAACTTTCCATTTTGCTAAATACACTTTGTGTTGTTCTTTTTGCCCAAAAACCCCTGAGAGAGACTCTGTAATATATAGAGCAGAACTGGACAGACCTTGAAGGGATGTGTAGGAAACAGTGGAAGTGCTACGGATTAGAAAGTCATAGGCCTGACGAGCCAGGATCTGTTTTTACTGCAGGAATCATCGCAGGACGACGTGCCGCATGCCAGTTGAGAGTTGCTGAAAAATACACAGAAGATCTCGGACCCTTAAATGACATTGCCTACGTATGTGTGCACAAGTAAGTAAGGAAGTGAGGTTTATTTTTCACACTATTTTACCACCTCTTGAGTGACTCCCTGGGTTTTTGTGAGGTGCCGCACGGAATGAGGAAATGAAATTACTGTGTGAACAGACGAAGAGTTACTACATGTCAACGGATAGAGGCATCAGTCAAACTGGCCCTGAAGCGTGGTGC